CCCGTGTCCCCTGCATCAGCAGGCGGACTCTCAACCACTGCGCCACCAGGGAAGCCCCAAGAAGAAACATATTTTAAAACCTATTCTTGAGTCCTTCCTGGGGTGGGAATAGATGTGGAGGCAGCTCAGGTAACTGGTGCTCAGGCTGGCTGCACAGCCAAGTACATTTCACACCTGTTTTATTGACTCTGCTGGGATATGGGCCGCAGGGTCCCTGGGGCCTCCGGGCTTGCTAAGAGTGAATCATTTGTCAGTGAAGGGTGTCCAGTCAGTGCCTAGGACTTTCTTCACCAGCTCAAAGGGCCTTGTGCAAATTCCCTGCTTTAGCTTTGGTCATGTCAGGGAGGCAGCGTTCAGGGCTGCTGGGGTATAGAAGCTTTTCAAACCGTTGACTTTATTTGAGCCCTGCCCTTTGTCGGGGGGACCCCGTAATCCCTGGATAACCCCAGCTTCCAGCAGCTGGCTGTGCCTCGGGACTCTCCCTGTCAATCCCACCTGAAGCCCTTCCAGGAGGGCCCGCCCGGCTTGGTAAGCGTGGGCAATCCATCTTTGGTAAGGGCCAGACAGCCTCAGGGTACCATTTTTATCGTAGAACACACTTCAAAGAGCACATATCTGGAGGTGCCGGACTCCAGCGCGTACTGGGGACTGGCCCGACCTCAGGTAATGATCAACAACCACCCTGGATGCAGAGGCCTGCAGGTGGAGGGGACCAGGAACCGGTGGAGCTTTCCACCCTTGCTGGCCACTTTACATTTCTGTGCATCAAACTGGCCTCTTTCCAGTCCCTTTCCTGCCCAGTAGGTGGGTTTTTTGCCCTCAGCCCATTTCATTCAACACTAGCCCCGTGCCCCTCTCCGACCTGATGAATTCAGGCCTTTCCTGGTTCATTCTGGCTGCCACTGATTGCATGGGGTTTTGGTCTCTGCCCTGCCAGGTCCTCTTTCTGGGCTGGACTGGGTGCCTCTACCTCTCCTGTGATTTTTTTTTTTTTAACATTTTGGTTCCAAGATGTACAGAGTCCATGAAGGTCCCTGGAGAGAGCCCTGGAAAATGGGTATTGCCTCTCACCCCAGTAGCAGACTATAAGATGCAAAGGGGGTGACCTTGTCTTCAGGGGTGAGATGCAGAAGTTGGGGGCCTGGGCCACATGTCCAGGGTCACCCAAAGCCAGAACTAGAGCTGGACCTACCTACCAGCAAGGTGTCCTCTTCTCTAGCCGCGGGGAAGGTCACCTCTGCTTCTGTCAAGAATGCTCTCCCCCTTGGGCTTTCCTGGTGGCGCAGTGGTTGGGATATGCCTGCCGATGCAGGGGACACGGGTTCGTGTCCCGGTCCGGAAGGATCCCATGTGCCGCAGAGCGGCTGGGCACGTGAGCCGTGGCCGCCGGGCCTGCACGTCTGGAGCCTGTGCTCTGTGATGGGAGAGGCCACAACAGTGAGAGGCCCGTGTACTGCAAAAAAAAAAAAAGAATGCTCTCCCCTGAGCACGCAGGCTTCGTTTTGTAAAAGGGTTCAAATATTTAGTCCTTTAACCCTCACATAGCTGGCAGGGAAGGAGTGCTAATAATTGAGGGAACTGAGATTCAGAGTAAAGGGTGAGACTTAAAATCCCCAGTGGGGCGTGGAGACAGGGCCCTGTCCGCCCTTGCCCAGGAGCAGGGGAGACAGACAGCCTTGGAGCCTGGAGATTTGAAACCAGAAGCCCTGGACCGAGCTGCCACTGCCCTGCTGAGTATCTTGGTCAAGTCACAGGACCTTGGTGAACCATTTTCTCTTCTGTCGAATGGGATTCTGCCCCATTTCCTGCTGTACTGCAGATAACTTAGCTGAAAGCAGGAAGAGCAGGTGCCTCATCCCATGCTAGGGCGACTGAAATGGCTGGGGCTCTCCTGGGCTCCCTGTGACCTGGTTGTCAGAAGGCCCTGGGGGAAGAGCTACTGGGTGGGTGAGTTGCAGTGAGGGGTGGGGAGGGTCCACCTAGGGCCAAGGGCCTCAATTTCTGCTCAGCTTGCCCCTGAAAACTGGAGCAGGGGGATCAGGGAAGCCCCGTCCTCCAGGAAGTGGTGGGGGACAGCATCCTTCACCTGGTGGCTCAAGGGCAACAGGGCTGACAAATACCAAGTCTCATCCAGTTACCGTTTATTCCCCTGCGCCCTCCTGGGACCCCTGAAATCTTCCCAGAAAACTCAACAGACCCAAATCCCAGGCCCTCTTCCTGCCCCAGGTCCCTTGGGTTCTGAGGAATTACCACCACGCCCCCGCCCTGAGGCCCGGAGGAGGGGTGTTATAGTCGCAGGAGCGATCATAGGGCATCTGGCAGGAAGATGGGCACCAGTCGGCCCTCAGGACCCATCTTGGCCTGTCTGGGTGGCCCTGCTCCAGCCTCAGATGACACTGGTCCTGCAGGTACCCCAGCTCTGCTCTGAGGGGCTGGCCTTGGTGCCGCTGCTGAAGGAGCCGAGGGACACCGGGTGCAGTGGGAGCTCACGCAGGTGCCACTGCCGCCACTTCTGAACCTCCAGCTGCACCTGCCCCCAGAGACCAGCCGTCACCCGGAGGGAAAGATGACCCTTGCCCAGGGTCCTGCTCCCCTGGGGCCTCGTTCGGGCTCTGCCACGTCTGCCCAGCGGGCATGCCTCCCCCTCCTGCAGGCCGCTCATAGATTTACCATCTCGACTCCCATTCAAGTGGGGCAACACCGCATCCAACTAACGTCAACTGTGCAGCCTCTGTGCCAGGAGCCTCACGTCCCGGCAATGCTCTGGGCAGGGCGGAGACCTCAAGCTAAGGGCGCAGCCACCCGCCCTGCCAGGAGTCACACTCTTTGGAGGTCTCAGAGGACGGAGCAGCAAACATTTCACCTGAGTCACTCATTTTACAGATGAGAGGCCTGAGGCCCAGGGTAGGGCAGTGACCGGCGTCACCCATCGAGCAAGCGGACAGTCATCAGCCTCGGTTAGGGCTGGGGCGCCTGCACTTGCCTCCATTTCCTGAACGTGCCCAAGGATAACAATCACCTGGAGTGCTAGTTAAGATGTTCTCAGCCTCCAGCCCGGACTGACGGGACCTAATTTTGCTGGTTTAGAAACAGGGTAGGACCCAGCAGTTGTTTTAACACGGGCTGTAGGTGATCCTGGGGCCCCCAGGAGGTGAGCCCAGACTCCCGGAAGACAGGCCCAAGCCAGCAGGGCCCGGCCTCCCTCACCAACACCACACCTCACTCCCCAGCACCCCTTCCAGGTACGGCTGTGAGGGAGCTCCCCTGCACCCGGGCAGCCCATGACACTCACCTCCCCATTGAGGAATCAGTAGGGAACGGCCACCACCAGGCCCTGCGGAAGAAACAGGGCAACGGGATGAGTGCGGACCCAGCACCCAGCCTCCTACCCGCCTGGGGTCCTCTCATCACCAGCCCCAAGCTCACTGCTCCCCACAGCTGTTGCAGAGCCTCCCCGCGCCTCTCCCCCTCCAGGGGAAGTGGAGGCTTCCTCTTCCGGCCCTCAGTGCCCCTAGCTGTCCTGGCATCACCCACAGACTGACACCCTTGGGGGCAGGGACCTCCCCCGTGTCCAGGTAGGGCCCCTGCACCAGGGTGGTGTCAGTTACATTAAGTGCAGGCCACAGGGTCCAGGCAGGTCACCGGAATCAGTGAGGCGGGCCATCTGGGAGAGGCAGGAGCAATGGCACCTGAGCCATGCCCATCCGGCTCAGCGGGTGGGGCAGCCCATGGAGCCCCTGGGCCTGGGTGGGCTCATCTGCAAGACAGCTGGAAATCTGGAGAGGTTTAAACAGGGCCAGCTATTCAAGTTGAAAGACAAATGTGTAGCCGTGTGGTCAGAACAGCCGGCGTGCAGGTCGCAGGCAGGTACCGGCCAGCCAACAGTGGGGCATGAGCCCCCCTCATGTCCAGGTCAGAGACCTCAGGGCTACGTATGCTTTAGGTTCCCTGGGATGGTGGGGGTCTGTGCCTACCAGGCCCCTCCCTCCCTAGCATCCGGAGCTTCTCTCTTCCCAGTGGTACCCCCAGAATCCTGGCGTGGAGCCTGCCAGGCAGGGCTGCAGGCTGAGATGCAGGATCTGAGCCGAAGAGGCTTGCGTGGAGCCGTGAGCTATGAGCAGGGTCTCGCAGTCCGGATGCCCTGCTCACCTCAGGGCCCTCCGAGGGCCAGCCTGTCCTTCCTAACAAGCCCCTGCCCTCAGGCTCCCCACAGAGGCCTGGGTGCCACAGCCCCTCCCCCCAGTGCCAGCCAGGTCTGCCCCTAGCTACTTAGGACATGGACAGGACCTCAGAGAGGGATGAACCAACCTGTTTATTGTGGGCTTAATCCACACAACTGCTCAGAAGTCCTGGTGGTTTTCTGTTTTGTTTTTTAATTTAGTTTTTTTTTAATTTGGGGCTGCATTGGGTCTTCGTTGCGGTGCGCGGGCTTCTCATTGCTGTCACTTCTCTTGTTGTGGAGCATGGGCTCTAGGCGCACGGGCTTCAGTAGTGTGACACTTGGGCTCAGTAGTTGTGGAGCACGGGCTTAGTTGCTCTGCAGCATGTGGGATCTTCCCGGACCAGGGCTCGAACCCGTGTCTCCTACATTGGCAGGTGGATTCTTAACCACTGCGCCACCACAGAAGCCCAGTCCTGGCATTTTAACAAGAGTTACAAACTAGAAAGATCTTCTCTAAGAGTCTCAGGTGTGGTTGATGCCACATGGAATGGGGACCACGGGAGTGGGGCAGGAACATGGACTCAAGGTAGCGGTTTTCAAGTTTTGCCACACGTTAGAATCACCTGGGAGCTCTGGACCAGGGTGCACTGTGTGCCCCAACTCCAAATGTCTGGGGTGAGACCATCAGCAGCTCTGAAAGATGGTTCAAAGGGGCACCATTGATTAGGAACTGCTGTCAGAGGGTGTGAAAGTCGGGCTTTGAAATAAATGATAGCTGGGTTTCGGGCACAGCTTAGCCTGTGTAATTTTGGGCTTCTGGTTTCCAGGGGCTTCATTGAATCCTTGCAGAGCCCTAGGATGTGGGTGGGGAGGACCCCTGCTTCACAGGTGAGTGACTGAGTCCCGGGTCGGCGGGCCGGGAGCTGGTGGTCAGGCTGCTGCCACCTCACTGGACCAGGGCTGCCCCAGCCTCAAAGGTCCGGAGACACAGTCTCACTGTTCAGGTGGGGACAGCCCTGGGTGAGGGCTGGTTAGACGTGCCCCAGGTATGCAGAGGGTGGCCTGCCTCAGCCAGCAAGCTTCAGAAATTCCACGGTTTGTATACAATCATTAAGAATATGCAGTCTTGCACTTCCCTGGCTCTGCAACAAGAGAAGCCATAGCAATAACCCTGTGCACTGCAACGAAGAGTAGCCCTCGCTCACCACAACTAGAGGAAGCCCGTGAGCAGCAACAAAGACCCAACGCAGCCAAAAATAAATAAAAAATAATAATAAAGAATATGCAGTCTTTGAAGAATTTTAATGACCTGGAGAAACGTTCATGATGGAATGATAAAGAATTAAACAGAACAAGGAGGATATAAAACCACACGTCCCTATCTCACTTTTTTGTGTGTACATGTGTGTGTACGTGTGTGTGTCTTCTTGGATAGAAAAGAGACAGAAGTAAACACACATTTGAACAGAGGTCATTATATCAGGCTATGAGATTATGGATGGATTTTCCTTTTTCTTTTAACTTTTCCTTATTTTCCAAATTTTCCTCAATAAGCAAGTATTTCTACAGTTACGAGGAGCTAATAAACTTTCGTTTTTAGAAATATATGACAGTGATCATGGCATTATGGTTCTGTGTGTGTTCTTTAAGCTCTCGTCTTTTAAAAATACATGCTAAAGTATTTACATTTGAAATACAATGATGGCTTGGGGTTGCTTAAAATGATGAGGGTGGTTGGCGGTAGAGGTGAAACAGGACAGGCCATGAAAGGGTAAGGGCCACACGGAGGTTCATTATATCGTCCACTTCACTTTTGTATTAGGAAAATTTTTTCCATAGTACAAAATTTAAAAAATATGCATACAGCATAAATGTATAATATATAATAAAATGATACCTGTTTGTATTTGAACAGTGGTTCTTTTTTTTTTTTTAAGTCTTAAAGATCCTTTTTCTCTGTAAACATTTCTATGGGAACATTTAGGAAAGCGCTTTGGTTCCTCTTAACAAGCATTTCCCCAGAGAGGAGGCGAACGGCTTTCACGAGCAGTCTGCAGCCCCAGCCGCAAGCCCAGCTCCAGAGACAGGAGGTCCCCTTCCACGCAGGATGACACCTGAGTGTCCAGGTCCTCAGCGGGGTCACTATCCACTTCTGTTGGCCGGGTCATGACCTTCCACCCATCTGGACCTGGACCCCCCCAACTGCTAAAGGGGCCACGGTGAGCCCAGCCTCCCGCACGTTACGTGGAAGCTTCCTGGCCCAGAGGAAAAGATCACGGATTACACAGGAGACTAGGTCTCTGTGGGTCTGGGGTCTGGCCGGGGTCTCTGGGCAGAGAAGATGCTCTGCGGGAGTGAAGGGGACAGCCCTGGGGGGGGGGGGTCTGAAGGCACGACTTAGGGCCAGACCCCACTCAGGAACGTGCTCCCAGTGACGCGTCCTCCCTCGAACAGGAGCATGACAGGAGGACCGCACTGGGCACATCCGTCCTGAACAGAACTCCGGGAATGAGGGCAGCCGCGGCCTGCCCAGGTGGGGAAGACTGCGGAATGGTCAGTGTTGTTGAGGACAGGCTGGCTCCTTCCGGAAAACCCACTGGCAGAGAGCTCTCTCAGGCCTCTCCCTAGGGACCAGCCTGTTTTCATCTAAATCTTGAAACAGAGTGTGTTTCTGTCTTTGCTTTGGCTACTGGGAAGCTCCAGACCAAATTTATGACACACCTCTGCCACCTTCAGAAAACTTCATCAAATTTGTTTCTGTGTATGAACGCAGTTTTGGCTTTATTTTCTTTATTCGCTGATCCCATCTACTTATTTTTTTGTCCTTTGTATGTTTTCCCTGAAAGCTACATCATATTATTTTTGGAAGGAGATAGTTATGAGTAAATAGACAAATAACACTGTGAAGTTTGAGATTCATGTTAAAAGCCCCTTCTTTCCAAACAGGTTTACTATATTTTTTAACTTTACAACATCTTGTTAATTTACAAGTTAGGTGGTTTCTCCCCTCCCTTTGTTTTCTTTTTTTAAAGTTGGCTTTTATTTTTAGTAAATTCTGTATGTAATTGGTTTCAAAGAGTCAAATGTCTCTTGTCCCAAAAAAAAGAAAAAAAAACAGTAAGCTCCTGATAGCCCTGCCCCCATTTCCTGTTCCTCAGAGGCAAGGACTTGGAACTCAACTGATTCTGAATTATATGCTGATGTTGCCACTTCTGAAGTTTTCAGCTTGGGGCGGTTTTTATGGACTTCCCAGTGTGGAGATGAGGCTACCATTCTTTTGCACAGCCTTCCGCCTCCCGCCCACGCCCCCACTACGCTCCTCTTCCTGTCCTACTCCTTGATGACTGAGACTGAGCCCTCGGGCTGTTACATTATTTTGACTCTAATTACTGAGGCTTGTGTGATCCTGTGTGCTGGGTTATGTTCCCTTTGTCTTCCCTGGAGTCAGTCTCTCTCTCCTTACTTGCATCTCCCACCCCCCACGTGACTGGTGGGGAACTTGGGTCCCACAAGGGGCACGCAGCACGGTGAGGTCCTGCCCCTGCGTCTCTTGGGTCTCTGCCAAATGAGGCATCCCTCTGACTCCGGGAGCATCTGGCTTTCGGCCTCTCCATTTTTCTCTCAAGAGAGAGAGAACACCTCTTCCCGCCGTAAAGTCACAGGCTGTAGCTTACCTGGAATGAGCCAAGGGCCAATTCAAAGCACAGCTGCGTCTCCATGGCATCCTCCAGGGAGAAGGCAAAGGTTATGTAGTGGACTCCGAAGAGGGGGACCAGCAGGAGGGTGGACTTGGCCAGGCACCTGAGGACACAGAGGCACTGCAGTCTCGGGCCCCTCCACACCCAGGGGCCCCCCCTCTCGCCGGACCGCAGGAGGCTTTGCAGCAGCGTCCCCGCTGCTTCTTTGTTTTTACTTCCGTTTCGGAAATTGTCCAACTCCAACGTACCCGTCACCCAGATTCAATACTTATCAGTCCACGGCCAGTCCCCAAATTTCTGTTCATGCACCCTATCAGTAAAACGCTTTGAACCCTTACCCACATGAGTAACTTCATTGATTTATAACGTATCTGCATGTGTTACTATCACTCTGTGTCTAATGTATTATTAGCAAAACCAGCATT